ATTCCCATAAAAACCAATAAAAAATCAATCAAAAATCTTCCAAATGTGCTTCCACCTATCCACCACGTGAGAAATAATGTTGACCGCACTCACCAGATGGAGGTGAGTAGTGAGCCTTATAGGATATAAGGGATCCTATAACCCCTCCAAAGGAACTCAAATCTCCTTCTTCACCCTGCTATGGTATAGCCCTCGTCTCCACTCTATTTCTCCATGGATTCCTCAATGGTGTGCAGAGAAAAAAACTACATAATACTGCCACTCCATATAAAATATAAAGATAGAATAAGGCCACTTACTTGTTTAAATAAAATTAAAAGCCTTGTTTAATAGCCTCAATGGCTTCAAGATAACAAATTTTCGGAATGTAGATATAGGGATCTCACGCTTCTATAGTCACTGCAGAGGATGAACAGCCTTCCACCTCCAAGATGGCCGCTTGAACCGCATAAGCCGGCGTGCGTTCCAAACACCGGAAGTGACGTTAACCAGAATGACGGCGGACCGGAAGTGCGTCAACGCGTTTTGCCCCACCCACAGGGCGTTCTCAAGACGAAAATGCCTTGTTGAAGTCAGAGGAGAATGGACAGACTGGTTGCTGTGACATTCAGATGGTAGGGTCAGAATTTGGTGTAAACAACATGAAAGCATGGATCCATCCTGCCTTGTGTCAACGGTTCAGGCTGGAGGTGGTGTAATGGTGTGGGGGAGATTTTCTTGGGACTAGCAAGGTGGACCTAATAAAGTGGCTAGTGAGTGTATACTGTATATGAGAGCTGTTTTACCTACCAATAGATTTGTAATCTTGTTCATCTAGTTCTGAGATTGAGGGTGCCATACATTGTCCAGGGCCTCAACAAACACTTTCCCAGGACCCGCAGCTTGTGTATACAGCCGTTAAAAGATGTGGCTGTACTCAGTTATTCAGCAGGAGTTGCAAAATGCACCTGCACACACATAGGTGTACATGTATGTGCTTCATGCAACCCCTAAAGCATTTAATTGCTGTCTATGGATGGCTGTATGCAGCAGCTGCATGTCCCGATCACTAGACCAGTCATTGCTGCTCTCTCTCCTTCTGCAGGATAACTGGTCTTGTCTCCACCCCCTCCTGTAGTTTTCTGCAGGCAGCCTGTAGTGTGTGCGGCTTGCTAGGTCCCTCTAACAGCTCTGGCTTTATACAGCACGGTGATGATGTCACTGCTACTTTTACAAGGTGATATTTGGGATTACAAAGACATTCAGTGCACACAAAGTGGATTTATATCTTTTGTGGCTATTAAGGAATATATTTAACCATTTTATTGGTGCAGCCGAACACCTGTACAATCGCTCTGTGTGACCCCTGGAACTGTGCACTGCCCTGTGCGACCCATCCCTGCCATACTTCCCGGGCTTCGTTGTCACGCCTGAACCAGCCAAGTCGTCCCCGGCGCCAAAGAAGAGCTCCAAGAAAGCCGTGATCAAGAGCCAGAAAAACGACGAGAAGATGAAAAAGAAGAGCAGGAAGGAGAGTTATGTCATCTATGTGTACAAGGGGCTCAAGTGTGCCCACCCCGACACAGGCATCTTGTCCAAGGCCATAAGCATCATGAACTCCTTCGTCAATGACTTCTTCAAGGGCCTGCAAAGCTTCTCATCTGGCTTATTACAACAAGCGCTCCACCATCACCTCCTGGGAGATCCAGACCACTGTCTCCAAGGGCACCAAGGCCTTCACCAAGTACACCAGTAACAAGTAAATACCGACTCTCTGGAATCATTCCAGTAAGACTTTCCGGGCTCCACTATCCCACCTATGGCCCCAAGACCTGCATGGCAGGTGGTGCTGGGTGGAAGGAAGGGAGACTGATCTCTCCTAGCAGCAAATAACATGGAAGCAACATGTAAAATGTCATGTGTAGTTTCTATTGTTACTTTCCCCTGGCCACAGTGACTAAGGAAAAGCTAGCTACCAAAATAATTCTATGTGGGGAGGGATTTTTTTAGGCACAGACAAAAATGGACTTATATAAATTACCACAAAATTTATATATAGAAAATCATCAAATTTTATATTACAACAATTCAAAAAAGCACATTAAAAAACATTAAAGGTTGACAAAAAGTGCTTAATCCTCATATAAGATGGATTTGTATCTCCACACTCTATATTCCACAGTACATCATGAATATCAACAGATCTTTTCAATAAACTGTTCCTCAGGGGTAGACTGGATATGTGAAATATACAAGCTTCCAAGCTTCTAGGTTATACCCAATTTACTGTAAATCTGTAAAACTATCAGACATTTACATAGCTTTCCATATCATATGATATAGGATAACTGTGTAAATGTGTGATAGTTTTTTAGTAAATTAGGTATAACCTAGAAGGTTGTATATTTCCGATATCCACTCTAAACCCTGAGGAAGAGTTCATTGAAACACATTGGGCCAACCACAAGATTATGAGTCTATCTCATATATTAGTTTCACCTTTTAAGTTGCATTACTGAAATAAATTAACTTTTGCACAATATTCTAATTTTTTGAGTTTCACCTGTATATGTGCTAGGACTAAATCTCCATCAATCATCCATGAAATCTCCATCAAGCAACATCTTATATCACTTTTCCATAGTGTCTTGGCAATACGAAGACATGGAGAGGAGGGAGGGAGTGAGCTGTCATTTGCCACTGTATATACACCCACGTGTGACTCCATAGTCACATGGGCTGCACAGATAAGAAACTCGAGCAAATGAACATCTTAGAAGGGAACTAAAACTGGAGCATGCTCAGTAGATGTCAGCAGCTGGTCTACACAATCTTAGGCTGCAGCGTGGACTCAGACAAGGAAGGTGGGACAATGAACAGCAGGATCCACCAGGATTTTTGCAGTCTACAGAAAACAAATGCTCTAGTGGATGAGTGAGCATGAACATACGTTTTTTAAGTGTTTTTATGAATTGTAAAATAAAGATTTGATGATTTTATACATATACATTTTGTGGTATGGACATTACTCCATTACTCCATTTATGTCTGCACCTAAAGGATCCCTCCACACATCAAATTATTTTGTTAGTTATGCCTCTTAGGATATTGGCGCATTCTTCCTCATTAATTGGATTTCAATGCTCTAGGAAAAAAGCTAAGAGAGCACTATCTGCGTTTCATTAGTTTCAATGGAGGGCAGGTGAGATATCAGGGGTCTAAAATACCCCTGATATCTCATTAAAGAGAACTATCACAAAGAGCTTATGTCACATAAGGGACTTTTGTCCCCTGTGTGATGTGAAGTTTTAGTGAAAAAAAGAAAAAAAAGCATAAAAAAATAAAAAACACCCAAGCACTTGGAACCCCTGCCCCCCGCCCAAATTTGTGATCCCTCCCCACTCCTAAGTGTGTGCACATATGAGCGTAAACACACCCATTTGGGGCACCTACATAGGAAACGTATCTTCTGCTACACGTTAGATAGCAATATGTATAATATGTTACAATAATTCTAGGGCCATTATCCATGGTTAAAGTGCTGCTAAACCCCGGACCCTGCACTTACTCCATCTACTCCATCTGGTCTTCCACAGTACACAGAACATGGAAATGCAATTATTTTAGTAAATATAAATGCCTTTTCTCATCAGCAGTATATAGCAGTCTTGTGACTTCTATCAGTGTCCAGCTGAGCACTGCCTAAACCTTGTAGGAGGAGTTTTCATTCTGCTCTGACTGTCCTATGAGGCTGCAAAACTCCTGTCCCTCTGTCTGGACAGTGCTGATTGGCCGTGTGCTAATCACATGCCCCCCACCACCAGGAAAAAAAAACCTCTCTAGCCACACACACTAAACTGAGCATGTGCAGAGCAACTCATAGAGCTCTGTACTATCAGCAGATGGTTTGGGGACAGTAGAATAAGGGGAGGATCAGAGAAGACAGGATCAAGCAGCCTTTTTACACAATGTTGAGGAATAACCCCTTAGGTTCCACAGTGAGTATAGAAAGCATGCTTACTGCATATACAGACTGATTTTACTGTTGTGGGTTTAGTAACACTTTAATTCTAAACTCATGACCTTTAGGAGCTTTTTAAATTAAAGCGCTGAGCAAACTGTTGGCTCTATATAAATCCTGTATAATAATAATAAATGTCATCTCTGGAAAATATAGGGCACTGAAATTCTTCATAATTTGTCAGGTGTATGCACTTTTAAAGCGTATTTATTTATGTAGCGCAACCTCATATTTTATACTTTACCAAAAATTGGGTGATATATTGCATTTATTCACCCTAAAATTAACTTTTGTGCATTTTTCACTGAAAACTTGAGGGGTGTCTACTTTCAGAAAATATATAATGTTTGGGGGTTTTAACTAATCTAGCCTAGAATGATTTTTTAAAATGTTCAAAAACGTTTACAAAACAGTTCTTGCAGCTTACAAATTAAAGGAAAGTGTTTCTGCCCGGAGTTCAGCTTTAAAGTAACTTTTTTGTGCCTGGAGTAGAAACAGAAAAGCAGAACTGCACTTATCTACTCTCTGAACATTTCACCGTTTTCCATTGTCAGATACAGTGTGTTCATTGCCAGTGTCTCATCTGTTTAATCAGACGTTTCAGTGTACGTGTGTAGGATGTACAGTGGAATGCAGGTAGCTGGATGGACAATCAGATCTTGCCTCAACAGGAGAACAATTGTAACTCACTTCCAAGAATTTTAATTAGATATTTTTTTTCCAAGTGAATGTGTGAAGCAATGCATGAACTGTACATATTGTTCTAGCACTGGAGTGCTGAAGGCAAAACACCCACACAAAGCAGTAATATGGGGGCAAAATTATAGTATATCTAAAGCCAAATGTTTTTTTATTTTTTGCATTTTAGATAGTGAAGGATACTTAAACCCCACCAGGAACAAGAAGTGAGGAAATCTCTCCAAAGTCAGGAAGATGTCCTCTTAGACCAGGGCTTAAAATTTCAAGTCCTGAGCTACTAGCCAGGCCTTAAGAGTTACTCGCCACCAACAAACACACACAAACAGAGACACCTGTACACACACAGACATGTACATACATACACACACACATACACACACAGAAACATGTACACACACGCACAGAGACACATGTACACACACACACATACAGACACATGTATACACACACAGGCACGTACAGACACGCATGCACACAGATACATGTACACATGCACAGACACATGTACATACACACAGACACATGTGCATACATACACAGACACATGTACATACATACACAGACACATGTACGTACATACACACATACACAGGCACATGTACGTACATACACACAAGTACATACACAGACACATGTACACACACATGCATGTACATATATGCAGAGACATGTACAGATACACACATGTACATACACACATGTACATACATACACAGACACACACAAACACACACACATGTACACACAAACACACACACACACCCTATAAAAAGTTGCAGTACTTCGTTGTTCACTCACAGAGCCGTGTACTGCACTCTAAGGAAGGGCAGAGAGCACAGCACACACTCCTTGCTTTGCTTTCACTGCACTCAGCTATTCAGCAGTCTGACGGCTCCCAGTGACAATGACAGATCCAGCCTGAGCTCGGAGCCTGCTCAGCAAGACGGCCCCGGGGGATACACTCGCCCCCACCATAATTTCCACTCGCCATTGGCGAGCAGGCGAGTGGAAATTTCAAGGCCTGTCTTAGACAGTTGTCACTGGAACAGATGTCCCCATTGGAACATTTCTTCTTTATTCTCAAATTTTGTTTTTTACCTCAATTTCAAACTAAGTTGTAGGCAAGTGCAGCCACTGCAGGTTGTGCTCGACTGCAGCGGTAATGCAGCTGGAGGTGGAAGTCGAGATAAATTGGTTTTCTCCATGGTTTCCTTGGTCACCTGGAGCAGTGATCTGGTTGGATGTTCTGGACCCAGGTGACCCTGGTGGCCATCTTGAGTCAAGTAGAGTCCCTGCTCCTGGGTTTTGGGGTGCTTTATGTGAGAGGTTAGTGTAGGGACAGTCTTCCTACTGGTGGAGTAGGGAAAGAGTAGGGACTATATCTACCTTTTCGGGAAGCTCCCTATTGCGTTGGACCAGCCAGGCCACATTCTTGAGACAGACGCTATATGCTGCTCGGAACCTGCATCTCGCTAACCGTGCACTGAACTGTTGTAAGTGCCCTGGTCGGTGCCCTGGTCTAAAAGGGGCCACAGGCAGCAATACAAATCCTGACATAGGTTTTAATCCTTTCCCAATTAAAAAAATGTCTTGGCTTTAGGCCCTTTACACACAGAGCTGTCCAACTGTAATGCTTCCCTCACAGCATTTTAGCGCGCCTGGGAGGGACAGGGGCAACATCCGGAATTATACATTACACCATGGTGCTTGGATTAAGCTAACTGATTTGCCTTCATGGCTATAAATGTTTGGGGTGTGTTTTTGACACTTAAAGAACTAAGGCTCTTCAATGTATGGTGAAATATCTAGAATGTTGTAGGACAAATTCTGTTGTGCCTAACTACAACTAGCTGTATCATGACCAAGATCAATAAAAATCTTTACAGACATCATCGAGAATCTGTCTGACTGACAGTTACCTGTATAAGGCGAACAGGATTTTGCATGATGTCCTCTCCACCAAAGAGATAGATTCTTTGGTCTTTGGCAGCTACAGCTGGATGAAGAACAGCAACTGGCATGTTAGTCATAGTTTCCCAAGTATTATAAATGCTATCAAACCTTTCCACTGAGTTGAGTATTTCCTGTTTCTCACCAATTCCTCCAATTGAAAAAATATAGTTTTTATATCCAATACTTTGGTGAGAATATCTTGGAGCAATCATAGGTTCTCCTTTCCGCCACTGGTTTAATTTGAGAGAAAGAATATACACACCTGAAGTAACGGTTTTGTCCTTGTTGGCCATAGACAATCCACCAAGCACATAGATACTACCGTGCAGACCTACTGAAGTAGCCTTGTATAGGCGTAGTGGTAGCTTGGCTAGCCTAAGCCACTGGTTGGACTTTTCATTGTACAACAAAACATCTCTGGTGGTCTGTTGGCTGTCTTTCCGACCTCCAACATTTATAAGGAATTCTTGATGAGAAAAGCGACGTGGGACGTGGCACATGGGATTGACATCTGGAGAAATATTTGAGTTTAGAGAAAAAATTACTTTACAGGCAGATTCCAACATGGTTCGGCAAAACAAAGATGACTGAATAAGAGGGTCATTGGCAATGAAATGGAAGAGGAACATTGGATGGACATATTCAATTCTGACTTTTTTAAATAGTTCTTGCAGGTAGCACTTTCTCCCTTGGACATCATGTCTGATCCAAGCCATCAGGGTCTCAAACACTTGTTCCTCTTCCCCATAAAGGTCATCATCTCCGAGGTAGTCCAACAATTCTGACACAGAGAGCTCCTTCAAGTCTTCTGAAAGGGACACTTCTTTAAAACATTGCAAAGCCATTTGTCTAGCTTTCTCTTTAAGGCTCTTGCAACTAAACAATTCAGAAAGACAAATCATGCTTAAACAGTTTTGAGGAGTCATTTGGTCCTGGAGGAATTTTGAGCATGTTCCCATTAATTTATCATACTGGAGCAATGAAGCAGCTTGAATGAGATGGAATACATTATCGACTGTGATAAGGATATCGCCAGTATAAACATATGTGATTATCTGGCGAAATGTGTCTGAATCAATGCCCATTAAAGTCACTTTTTCTTGGATGCTCTCTCTAAAATTGTTGCAGAACATGGCCCTGAAATAGGGGCTACTTGAAGCCATCACATTGCGGTGACATGGAAATTCACAATCATCAGTGCAAATGATAACATCTGTTAATAAACCTCCTTCTCTCAACTTGTTCAGATCTCTGAGTAAGTCACATGAATGATCTTTATCGTGGAAGAGCAGTGAATTACAAGAATCGCCATCCATGCTGAAGCTTTGATTTTATTCCAGTATTAAGAGTAAGAAGAGGGATGCAATGAATGTGATGGTTGCCATAATGGGTGAGATGCTTCAGCCTAGACAAAAAAAACACTCATTTTAATATTTTTTTTCCATTTTAAAAAGAAACATATTTGCTTTTGTAAACATTATTCAATAAATTCGCTCCTCACTAAAATTGATCTCAGAACTTTTCTAACATACAACCTTGAAAAATACCTAGGATTCACCTATCCATCCTCACTTTCCTATCCTAGGTCCTATTACCTATCACTCCAGAGAAAAACAAAACAGAGGGCGCACCAGCCTTGTGCATTACCTTTAAAAGTATGTTTATTAAATTTAAAAGATATTCTACTCACAAAAGTACATGAATATAAGCACGTCATATGATACCGCTCTGTCCAATTTGCACTGCGTTTCTGAATGGTGATAAGAATGATGGACATTCAAAATGCTGAAGCATTTCGAGTACTAGCCTCTTCCTCAGAGCCTACAAATAAGATAGGCTCTGAGGAAGAGGCCAGCCCTCGAAACGCGTCAACCATTTTGGATGTCCATCGTTCTCATCACCATTCAGAAACGCAGTGCGAATTGGACAGAGCGGTATCATATGATGTGCTTATATGTACTTTTGTGAGTAGAATATCTTTTAAATTTAATAAACATACTTTTAAAAGTAATGCACAAGGCCAGTGCACCCTCTGTTTTGTTTTTCTCTATTAGTACTTTTGGACTCCCTGGTTCTTTGAGGGCAGCAAGGCGTGCATATTCCAAGGCATTCGTTGTGTGATCCTTATGACACAGAGTCCATCCCTAAGTGCATGACTATTGCACCAGAGATAGGCTTGTCCACTCCTACTTCCACCATTACCGATCCATACCACTCCCCACCCCTTAACCAATTATACTTTACAAAAAACATGACACCATTTTGGAGTAAAATGGCCAACATGGCCTTTTATTAACAACTCACATTTTAAATACAACAGCCGTTCCTTATAACGGAAACCAAAGAATTGTTGTTGGTCTTCGAAGGCACCCCCAATGATCCGAAATGCACCTGCGGACAACCATATACACTAGGCCTCCAGCCGCAACCAACCAGCTCGGAGACACCACCACCTTCCAGTTAAACCTTGGTTAACTGGGAATGTCCACCGGGCACCCCATACCACCAATGGGTCCCACACCATTGTTTTACCTTCCAAAATGAGAACCGCCTCCAAAGACCAACAACCGCCCGCGAACCAACATAACCCCAATATTTTTATTTTTTTTTGCTTTCCCTGCCCCCCGGGAGGGACCCGATACCCCACAAACAGGGAGGGCGGGAGGGAAGCTCTGATCCTTCCTTACGTCCAGCTCCACTGATGCCCCCTCCACAGAACCCCCCACCCTAAGGTGCCGCAGACCCCACCTACATTCCACCTCTGCCAACCAGATAACCCCACAATCAAAACCCAACCCCCTGGAGCTAACTTTAACCCTTTCCGTTCCCCTTCACCACTCTGGGGCCTAGTCATGTATGCCCTGCGCTATTTTCATTCTTTCTTATCCGCTACGGGCATTTCTGGAGTATTTGGGTTTTCCACTTTCACATCACCTATCACTCCAGCCTGCAAAATCTCTCTACCACTAATTGGAATGATTTCAGGGAAATATATTTTACCCCCAAATTACCAGTTTTAGCAATCTTTTTTAGTTATTTATAGAATATATGTATAGGAAGGAGTTGTATTTAGGATAATTAAAGTGATATTAAAGTCACTTTAAAAAAAACTAAACATGTTATACTTGCCTGCTCTGTGCAGTGGTTTTGCACAGAGCAGCCCTGATCCACCTCTTCTTGGGCCCTCTGCTGGCACTCCTGGCCCTTCCATCCTGCATAGTGCCCCCAGAGAAAGCAGCTTGCTGTGGGGGGCACCAAAGCAGGCTCACTCCTGAGCCACTGTTCTGTATGTTCATTCACACACAGAGTCCTGACTCGGCCCTGTCCCCTTTCTCTCTTCATTGGCTTACTGCCTGTGATTGACAGCATTGGCGGAAGCCAATGGCTGGATCGCGATGGGGCTTATGTAAGTATTGAGAGGGGCTGCTGCACACAAAAGGTTTTCTACCTTCACACATAGAATGCATGAAGGTAAAAATCCTTAAGCCTTTACAACCACTTTAATTATTCTTAGGCGGTTATTCTTGGGGATGAGTTTGTTTTGAGTTTAGTTATCCTGTAAAAAGAGCTCACAGGTACAAATATTCTATGCTGTTTAGAGCTCTTGCTGAAACGAATTATGGTGGCTAGCAAAAGATTAAAATGTCTACAGAACTGGTTTATGCACACTTTCATTGGCTGTAAAACAAGTATCCATTTCCTTTTACTAGGTGATGCACTTCTCCAATTTGCTAAACATTATGACTGCAGTAAAACATTTTGTGAGGCAGTTTATGAAAAGTTTGTTTTAACTCTCAAGTTGTGAAGTTTACATTTCTCCGTCCATCTTCAAGTGTTGACCTGTTTCTACACTATTTTAAACATTGGGAGAACTTACTTTTTATTTATTGCATAATACTGTTCCATATTTGTGTAAGAGCTGTGGATGAGTTGAGCTTAGGTTTGCCCTGTACATCGATGATTTCTGTAGTGTATAGGAAACCTCACCCTTCTCTTTGACAATGGGGGGCATTATTGGGGGCACATGACTTCCACGAGTCAGCCATATAGGGCAGCAGCCGCGA